AGGTACTAACTGATAAACGTAATCTCAAAGCTTTCGACAAGTTTCCCCAAACTTTCAGCCGCTTTTGGAATATTCATCATTAATTTAAGGTTGGTGAGGCCATTTACCATACTTTTCTTGCCTCAACTACAGTTCCTTATTTTCTCGTTAAAAATATTTCTGTCAAACATGTAGATCATTGTTACTCGATGTAATAAAGTTCACTAGTTGTATAATTGAGCGTGTTGTGACGGTAAGTCTGCTGACTAGCAAATAAGGTTTTCGCATGTTCAGTTCCTTCGTGAGACTCAACTGATATCTGAGAATTGGTAAAAAATTTAACAGTCTGCTGAGAAATGCCGCGTACTAAATGACATCTGAGATTTGAGAGCAGAAAAGGTTACCGATAGATGAGAAAAAGGGCGACTTGCGCATATCAGGTGCTAATAAATTTAGGTAAGGTATCGGAAACGGTTATAAGCCGTGTTTTTTTGCAATTAGCCAAAGCCTACAAATTTGAAAGAAACAAATTTGGTCCGAGTGCCATAAAACAAACTAACTAATTTCGCTTAATCAAGCTGCACATCGGAATGTTGGCCAACGGTCGTTTTTGTAAGGACCTCGCTGTGCTCGCTCCGTGCTGCCACAGCCTCGGACCAATATTCTCCACTACGACCTTCACCTACAGTTATTAAGAAGTTGTTACATTATATTTCGGTATTTAATACTGACAAGGCCTTCCTTATAAACTTTGTTGATCCTAATTTAAATAATCGGTTTCCGAAAACACAAAATCGATGAACAGTACTTTGGAAAGAATGAGACAATTATTTTTTTTTCTCAGACAGAAAGCTGCTCTTCGGTAATTGGTCTCTGAATGCTGGTTACTGCGCAATAAATGGTTACGCCCTGGACGAAATGAAAAAAAAAACCCTTTGGAGACGAAAGTAAGAGCAAAAATAGTAAAAAAGGAAAACGGAAGAAATTTAAAAATTGTTCATCCGGGATCGATTTCGAGCCCCTCCGCTTGAGAGGAAATGCGCTATCCTTTAGGCCAAGTTTGCAGAGCGTATCTACTAATGAGAATTTTCTTTCAGCGAGTAGTAGACCATATAGATAAAACGTGATTTCCTCAATCAAAAGTTTTAAAATACGAAGTCAGTTCAGTGGACTCGGCACTTTCATTTTCCGAGAACCCTGCACCAACTCTGATCCTTATTTAATTAATAGTACACTATAACTAGTGCATACCCAATACCCAATACCTGTATACACAAGTATATTTCAATACACGAAATAGAGATTTCAAGGGTGAATAAACATACCCAGTGTTGAATGTCACGCTGTCGCTCAGGCGCAGGGCGAGCAGTACTTCTGATCATATTTGCAATCTGTTGTTCCGATAAAAGTTTTCTTAGACAAGGAATAATGGTACAGACCTCCATTGGGAGATACCTGTCCTTTTTCTGTCCAACTTGTAAGCACGGTAGGTGAGGATACCTACAGGTAACAAAGCTTAATATTAAGACACCTTCAAGCGAATGTGAGTGGCAGGCTTCTTAATTTCTAATGACTACCAGATGAAATTATGTGTACATGTTGTACTATTATATCTCTCAGTTAGTAAGTCCGCTAAGATTAGAATCATTTCAATTTTCATCTGGATTATTTTTATCAATCACAATTTGCAAGCTGAACGTCACCAGTATCTATATGGCTTATCGTAAAGTCCGCCAAAGAAGCAAGGTGGCGGGAGGTTTGAGAGGGGTCTGGTACGGGAAATTGTGCGGGCTCTCATTTTTCGTTCCAGGCCACTCGAGAGGGCGACAAACTCTTGCAAAATTTGCGAGAACCCTGCAATATGCACGTCCAGAAGTGCTTATAATAGAAAGCCTACAAGTTCTATAAATCATCTGCAGCTCACACCTCAAAATTAACCGGTATCTATCTTTGAAATAATCTGCAACAGTTGTTTTGTAAGTGCGACCTGTTCCCTCATCTGTTACATCAAACTGTTTCCTGTTGGCAGATTTTTCCGACACGCCCCAAACTGTGTACTTCCACTTTAAAGAGCCAGCATGAGTGGTTTGTATACGAATTCCTGTAACACATCGAAAAAAAAAAACACATGTTAGTGCTTAAGACTCTCCAAGTCTAAATTTTCATTATTATATGAAGGCTTTTTAAAAGAAAATTAAACATATATATGTGCTCATGACAATATTACCACTATTAAGCTTCTTTCAAAAAGTGTTAATTCTCTCAAAATGGATATCGCGTTAGGATCTAATAAACACAAGTCTACAAGATTCAAGGCCATTTAATATATAATTCCCATGAACCCTATTTTATTTTAATTTTTTAAGGTGAGATATCATGGAACTCAGAGGCCAACTTTTGTCCAAGTAAACACTGGGAAAGACGTTCAGTCATTTAAACTACAAATCAAAGGAGTGCACATAATTCATACTTGATAAAACACTAGAAATATTATGATGATGCTAAAAAATGTTTTCATACTCAAGTGAGCATCCACTATCGTCCAAGTATGCAGTCGATCGTAGTAAAGTTTAACCCTTTCCATAAGTGTTCATATACAGCTATTCCAATTCACGTTGTCGGATCAAAGCTTCAAGGGTACGGGAAAAGACCGAAAGGCGGTATGGGTAGATTAGAATTTATTTTAGGCTTTCGGGGTTGTCGGCGCGAGATGGACATGGAGGCTGAAAATACATCGGAGATCTTCGCTGTATGGACAAGGCATTGTTAATTTTGCTGATAATTATTCATTAAGATCCCATATTCCCCTTCGGTCTTGTCTTGTAGGCTTGAGGCTTTGATCCGACAACGTAAATTGAAATAGCTGTATATTTATAATTTAAGTTTAGTTTGCCAAAAAAAGGTATCAAAGTTAATTATAAACTCATATAATGCAATATGAAACAATGCAATATTACAAAATAATAAAAAAACAAATTTCAAATGTAATATAACAATTATAATAATCATAAGTATCTTACAATACCTTATTGGTTGCTGATTTGCTGGCTTGAAACTTGAAAGTGATTAGCAAGTACATGTAACATACAACATACTTCTCTAAGCAGCCAAAGAGACAGAATTATCAAGAGTTTACTTTCTCCAGCCACTTTTTGGCAAGTTACAGAAAATACCTGAGACATTTTGGTTTTTATATATATACTAATTTTAAAATAATTATTCACCTCAGTCTCTGACTGAAATTAGTGGATATCTACATTCCCACTTTGCAGCTTGGTGTGAAACCACCATTATAAACAGACCACCATATAATGAACAGACCTGTACACAAATATTTATAATAATATTGGTTAGAGAACAGAAAACAAAGCAACTCACCGAGTATGGCTTTCTCAAGTCTTCGTCTGTCAGGTTCAAATCTGTAGTCTTCAAGATTATGGGGTTTCACATCAAGTGCTTCACACAGGAAATCAGGAACAACAGCTTGCTCTTTGTAAAATCCTTTTGCAGAGACTGAAAGTACAGAAACTCACTGAGAATATTATGTAAACATTGGACAGTTCTTTCACCATTTTACCCCTAACAGTGACTAGCATCTAATATCTCTTTATAGTTTACCTACCCCTCCCCCTCCCCCTCCCCCAAATGGTCAGACATTAAGGTCACCATAATAAATGAAATGATCACCAGGCCAACTAAAAAAGCTCTTGATTGTTAACCAAATTCTCCTTATCAGCACCTCAGGAAATGATTGTATAGAGAATAGTAAGGAGAAGACACATGCTGATGATAGGGTGTAAAGGGTTAATGGGCTCATGATCAGGAACACTGTGAAGCTCAATTTCAAAAGGAAACAGTGGCTCATTTCATGAATTATAGTATACTCTTGAAAATAAATTTTTTGAGACTTGAACATTACTGAGAAGGCAACATTTCATATATTCCTCAAATTTTTTCAAAGCAATGGTGAGAACAAGTAATTTATATGAAATTTTACCAATTGCAGCAACTCACCATCAATGTTTACCAGCATAGCCTTCCACTCAGAATGGCGAATACTTGAATAAAAACCAAATTTCACCTCACACCCCTCTCCCAGGGGTCTTGCTTGACCATCAAATGTAAAGAATGATCTTCCAACAGGGGTGTAATACATTGATGGCATCTGTCGCACCACAATGTCCAATGCCTGTACTGCATCCTGAGGTATTTTGCCATTTTGTTCTCCACTCAAAAAGTTGTTAAGTTCCAAAAGACTTACTCCTGCAGCAAACTGAATTTTAACCTTGTGGGTTAAATAGGAATAAGTATTAAAATATTTTGAAATTATTATCCATTTGGTATGACTACATGCTTCCTACAACTACAATTATGCATATTCAGTTGTGATTCTTCCAGCACAAATTTGACAAAAACTGTCTCAATTATAGCGGAGCTTGCATAGCGTAGCCCCATAACTATACAAAATAGTAGTAACCCATAAAGCCAAAAAAATTTGGATGTACGACCATACGACTGTACAACCAACCATACAAGGTGCTACTTTTAGCATGCGTGGCCAACTGTACCATGGGCACTATCTTATGATCAATCCTCTACACAGACACAGAGAAGTTGCAAATGAAAATCCATTAATATTACCGTGCACTTTAACCATAGTAGGGGCTTTAGTTTTGTTGAAGAGATCTGCAGGTAGCATTCCATCTTGAGCAACAGTTAAAAAATGCAGACTATGTCAAGTTTATTTCTAAACTGATTGTTTATCATCCATTCAATGCAAAAGAGTAATTGCATTCAAAAAATGACTATCACCAAGGTATCATTATTACTATTATTATTTATTTTAAAATTGTTGTAATGCTAACCTTGAAAACCCTGTCTGTTCCTCCATCTTTACCTGGTAGTTTAAGACTAAGTTCAGCCTGTAAGTTACACAAAAAAAGGGAAACAACTCCTTAACTCCAACAGGAGATTCGTGGATTAGAGTGTTGAAAGAAGTCCAGGGTTGGCTAAAAGATATTTCATGACAAAGTGTAAAAAAAACAGTCTTACATTTTCTCAGTTTTCCTTTCCATGGCCACCCTTGCTTGAAGTTAGATTTAATTGTTAGTAATTAAAAATTGCTCAATTAACAATTAAGTGTTGCTCACAAAGTGATGTCTTCTTACTTCTTTTATGCAATGTTTACACATGTGTTGCAGTCCAAGTTATAATTTTTTCAAGACAATCTAGTTTTATCAACTGAGTTGATAACATAAATTGGCCAGTATAATGAGTTTTTAAAGCTAAAATTTTTAGCATTGGCCTCTAATCACCTGACATACATCAATGAGGGGTGACTATATCACATTAAAAAACACTGTTGATAGGAAACTCACAGGAGCAGGTAGCCTTATCCTGCTGTACAAATTCTTTTCACCATCAAAAGCTGGATGATGGCCTTGAAATATTGTCTGTTTGTACGTCTTTATGATTTCATTAACAACAACTCTCTTAACACTTTTAGGACATCTTTCTGGAGTTATTTCAACATCGTAGTGGTACAGGTCTGAAAGCTGCGGTGAGACATTGAGGCGGAAGAAGTTTGCCCTTAATGCTATAGGGCGACCCTTTGTGCCATAGCCTGGTCTCAGAGGAGGATGCATTCCACTGTTTGCTTGAGTCTGACGAGGAGTGTGTTCTGAGAGAGAATTAACCCAATCAATACATCACAGTCAGCATTTGAGTACATATAAATTTCATACTCATTTTTGTTTTTTTGATACTTGGACTAGAAATAAAAATCCTAATTCAAGGAATTAAAAAATATATTCGACTCTAGTTGTTCTGGAGCCATTTTGATTAATTTTAAAAATAAGAGTGCTGTCTTCTTTCTGCTGTTTCCCAATTCCCCAGCACATTGAGGAAGTCTCACTGTCAGAATGTTTACTTCACTTTAGAAATATTTTAATATATGTAAGTTCTTCTACACTGCTTGTTAACAAATGTTTTTACTGGAAATAGAAAACACTTAATCTATCATTTAATAACATATAGTGTAGCAAAAATAGTATAGTTTAATATTAAAACACTGTTAGAAATAATTTAAAGCACTGGAGCCACCCCCCTATTAATTTCCTTGCTTACTTTGTGTTGTCAGTAACCCTTTTATTTTTCTTCCCTTTTTTTTTCATAATGTGATTAAAAGTAAGTTCTTGGGATGTATTGTATGGTTGTTATTGTGCCACAATAAGAAAAAAAAGAGTAAAAGGCTTTTACTGTACCTCCACTCCCCAGAAAAGAACCTAGCTTTTTAGTCATATCTTCAAGTTCTCTGTCCACTGCTGCAGTACTGCTTGTAACAGCAGCTGAAGATGGGGTGGTGCCACCAACAGTTTTTGTTGACGAAGCATCAGCTGCAGTTGCACCCAGAGACAAAGTGGAAGCTTTTGATTAAATACAAAATAAATTCAATCAACAGTTTGAAACAAACTTGATCCCCTCGCCCATGACTGGTCTTTCCGGGAGCTTAGTAGACTTCCTCCTTAGGTTCGGCGGGCTAATTAACGACAGGTAAAAAGACAATTGACATACTTGATAAGTTACACCTTACCCGGGAAAAAAAGCAGCGTACTTGGGTAACCGCTGTATTTAATTAGGTCCCTATGGATAGCTCAATTTTGATCAATTAATGTGCTTCAAGGTAACGACCTTCTATTAACATTCTGTTCCATGTGAAGTAATCTACAATAATAGTGATACCTCCTCGATAGTGACTCTTTTTAACAGAGTGCCCCTTTATATTGTTGGCACAAATTGTTACATCCATCATCAAAACAACACTGTAAAGGAGGGCGGGGGGGGGGTCATTTTGAAGTCGTTGTCTCCTCTAGAAAGGACAAAGGGTTTCCATATAATGTGACAAAGATTGCAGCTACTAGTATTATTTCTGGGATAATCAGACTATAGCGACGCTTGATCGCCGCTAGCTGGACCGTACGAATCTCACTGATCGACACAACAAATATCGCCCCAATTTCTTTCATGGAACGCCTCCTTTATTAAATGTCGTATTTGACCGTGAAGCTAAAAATAATTGATTCACAAAATTAGGGACAAGAAATTAGCTATAGAAACACTCGAGGTAAATTAAACTTACATTGTTGCCGGATCTGGCGAGAGTTGACACAAAAAGGACCTTTCCTTCCTTCGATAAAAACGACAGACAATTTCTTTCTATTAAACCACGAGTGCTTGCGAAATCGATCGAATTATTGAATTGCACAATAGATCCGTTCTGTTTGGAAATGCGATACCACTTACGGAACGCGTGACGAGGCACCTAGTGTGACTTCTACAGATTATTAATTAAACGATTACTAAATCAAAACAAGGAATAAACCCGTGCCTTAGGGGCACTTACATGGCTCCCCTTGAAATCACCGTATTTCAAACAAAACGAAACATAATTAAAGTAACAAGTTCAGAGTTCACTGACATGTCCGTGTCTAGTCCTCCTTTTGAATGTGTTCGTTGAATGGCTCCCCATGCGGGAATCCCAGTCTTTCCTCTCTTGGCAGCAGCAGGACAAGCTTTTGAATGGGTCTTTCCAAAACTGATGGGGGGTGCACTCTCTTTCCAGTGCTGGAGATATCAGGGTCTCCAATCGCTACCTTGACACTACGCACCAGTCCATCGGCCTTGTTGGGGTACGTTTCTATCACACGAGCAAGGCTCCACCGATTCCTCGCCTTGTTGTCATCTTTAACGATAACTACGTCGCCAACTTGCATGTTACGGCGTGGTCTCGTCCACTTGGACCTCTCTTGTAAGCTATGAAGAAATTCCTTCCTCCAACGGTCCCAGAATTCGCATGATAAATGCTGGACTCGTCGCCAACGTTTCCTTGAGTACAAGTCTTCTCTTTGAAACACGCCAGGCGGAGGTAGAACCGGCTTTGCTTTCATTGTGAGGATATGATTTGGCGTCAGTGGAGATAGTGACCCTGGATCGCTTAGATTATCCACTGTCAGGGGACGGCTGTTCACGATCGCTTCGGTTTCACAAATCAGCGTGTGAAAGGACTCTCCGTCCAGGCAACTTGCACTCTTCTCCAGGAGGGCTGATAGTACACTGCGAATGGTCCTGATTTGGCGCTCCCATACTCCTCCTGCATGGCTGGCTGATGGGAAATTCATCTTAAAGGTTATCCAATCACAATTCTCTTTCAACATCTCAGTGCTGATCTTGCCTTGATCCATAGACTGCAACGCTTCGCGGAGCATCTCGCTGACCCTCGCTGACACCACAGCTGCTGTGAGTTCCAGACGTGGTATGGTGACCATCTTTAAAGGAGCTACTCTTGCTTTGCCCATAATCAGGGAACAGTGGATCTGGCCCTTGTCGTCTACCAAACGAACGCATGAACACTGGCCATACCCAGTCGTGCTTGCGTCTGAGAAGTGATGAAGCTGTGTTGATATCACCGTTCCGAAACCTTCTGGTTTAAAGCATCTTCGAACGGAGAGATCTTCTAAGTGGTGTAACTCATCCCTCCATTTCAGCCAACGTGATCTTATGTTCTCGGGGATAGGGTCGTCCCATTCCACTTTACCTCTGCACAGATCTTGCAGAAGGCCTTTTCCTGTCAAGATTAGAGGTGCCAGAAACCCCAACGGATCGTACACACTGCTAACAGTGGACAGAATTCCTCTTTGCGTTAAAGGGCGATCTTGCATCACGATCCGGAACTTGAAAGCGTCTGACTCAATACACCAACTCACACCAAGCGCTCTTTCCATAGGCAGTTCATCCTTCTCGAGATTCAGCTCCTTTATGCCTTTCGCACGATCTTCCACTGGTATGGACTCGATAACTTCTCTTTTGTTGCTTGTAAATTTATGCAGGTTAAATCCTCCGCGCCGACACATCTCTTTAGTCTTGCGTATGAGCTCCTTTGCTTGACTTGTAGAAGGTACAGATTTCAGACCGTCGTCAACGTAGAAATCTTTCCTCAGGAACTCGGCTGGTTCGAGGCCAAACTCTTGCTCATGGTCATCAGCGGTCTTCTTTAGCGCAAAGTTACAACAACCAGGAGACGAACCAGCTCCAAAGAGATGAACGGTCATCCGGTATATCGTGGGCTCCTTGTTTACATCGCCATCCTCCCACCACAAGAAGCGTAACAGATCTCTACAATGTTCAGTGACGTGGACCTGCAGAAACATTGCTTCTATATCTGCCATGAAGGCAACTGGCTCCCTTCTGAACCTCGATAGCACTCCAACAAGCTTGTTGGTAAGATCTGGGCCTTGGAGAAGATGCTTGTTAAGAGCCTCCCCTCTGTACTCCGCGGAGCAATCGAAGACTACGCGGATCTTGTCCGGCTTCTGAGGGTGGAAGACACCATGGTGAGGAAGGTACCATGTCTTTCCATCTTTCCTAACTTCGTCCTTTGGTATCTTCTCAGCATATCCCTTCTTAATCATGTCATTCATAAATGCCGTGTAGTCTTCTTTGTATTTCTCATCTCTTCGAAATCTCAGTTTCAACTGCTGGAGGCGATGGACTGCAAGCTTCTCGTTATTCGGCAGGGCTAACGATTCATTTCGTAGTGGCAATGGCAGTTCATAGTGTCCATCTGAACGATGGGTAATTCCTTCTTTAACCTTTGCCATGAATCTTCGATCATCCATGGAAAGGGTTTGTTGAGCCGCGTGCTTCCCTTCATTGAAATCTCGCTCGAACATTCTCTTAACTGCTTCTGGAGAGATGATCTCTTTTACGTGTGTCTCAACAACAAAACTATGGGAAGGTAATTCTTCGCTACCGATCTCCTTCACTGCAACTCTGTGACATAAGACATCCGAATCTTCTGTGGTTGTACTTCCTGTCACTGGACCAATGATGCCCCAACCAAGGAGGGTACGGATGGCATAAGGATCGCTGCTTCTACCAGGAATGACCTGCTTCGGCTTTATGGCGTTTGGACAGTTTGAGCCGATCAAAAGTCCCACTTGCAGATCGTTTTGGTACGGGTAAATCTTGTTGGCTAAATGACTTAGGTGTGGCCATTTTGCTGCCGACTCTGGCCTTGGGATCTCGTTTCTTCTCGATGGTATTTCGTTCCTTGAGTACGTCTTGGGAAGCTTGATGTAGACCGCTCTATCCATTCTTTCCACGATAAGACCGCTCACTCTACGAGTAGGAACTACTTCTGAACCATGCATTGTGTTTAGCTTCAATTGAGTCTCGACTCCATTAACTTGCAGTTCTTCGAGTATGCTTTCCTTAACGAAAGTTCCGTTACTAGCTGGGTCGAGCAGCGCATAAATTACAACTTGTCTTTCGAGGTTGTCTTGGTGGTACATTCGAACCGGAACAATCATAGAGTTTGTGATGGCATCGGTGACTCCAGTAGCATTACAGGTACTTGTACAGCTGCTAGTTGCTTCAGCTGCCTGAACTACTCTTGCTTGGTCTTCACTACCTTGCTTGGGAGAAATTTTGCTTTCATCATGAAGGATGGTCGGGTGGGGCATACTACATGTCTTACACACCTTCCGGTTTCGACATCTTCTTGACATGTGGCCGTAGCAGAGACAACCGAAACATATTCTAGCTTCTTGGATAAATGCTCTTCTTTCTTTAACAGTCTTCTTCTTGAAACTTGAGCACTTCTCCAGATCGTGATGCTGACTGTTGCAGAATGGACATGAAGAACCTGATGGCGGTTGATCATCGTGAGGTGTGGCACTTGTCAAGAAGCTACTTGTACTCTTGCCTTTTCTTCCATTGTTTCGCCAGGTTGTGTTCCTGTTGGTGTTGTTGTCACTGCTGCTACTGCTAGTGAACTCATCTTTCCTTGCTTCCTTGAGGGCTTCAGGTGAGAATACTGGGTCGGTTGCCAAGGCTGCTTCTTGTGTTACAAATTTGACAACGTCATGAAACGTAGAAAGTCTTTCTTCTAATTTTAACATCTTATTGGCAAAACGGCACCATTTCACTCCCATGTTACTTGGCAGCTTTGCAGTTATCCTTCTAAGAGTGTCCTCGGAGTTAAGGCCTTCCATGTACTTTAACGTATTCATGGCTTGTTCGCAAAGCACCAGGAAATCAGCAAACTGTTGCAAACGCGCGCCGTCCCCTTCTTTCATAGGAGGCCAAGCATTCAGCTTATCCTTGTAGGCCTGTGCAACGCGATAAGGATGGCCGAATCTTTCCTTTAATACCTTTCTAGCCTTATCATAGGAATCTGGAGAGTCGAGGTTAATGAAGCCTTGAATTGATTCCTTAGCGTCCCCAGATGTGAACTGGTTTAAATAATAGAGCCTCTGCTTTGGATCGCTCACTCGGCACTCTATTAAACTTTCGAAGGCACTGATGAATGCTGCGTAATCGAAGTGGTTTCCAGAGAAAACCGGGGGCTGCTGTGCTGGGAGCAGACTCATTCTTTGTTGTTCGGCGACAAGCTTCACCACCGAGGTTAACTCGTCTGTTCTGTCGGAAATCTCCGGCTTTGATTCACGTGATGGTGATTCACCAGCTTGCGTGCCTTGGCGTACAACTGGGCCATTTGGGGGTTCAAAGGGCGGAGCCTTTGGGTTTAAGATCCCGTTATCTTGCAAAGGTTTCGTTTCACTAGGTTCCTCTTTGGGCGATAGCTTGGGTTTGACGTCTAGAATTGGTGTTTCATGCTTCGGGATCTGGGGGAAATCCTCCTGCCTTTCTTCTTCTTCGATTTTGCGCATGGTTTCTTCCTCAGCCTTTGCCTTAGCTAACTCCTTTTGCATTACTAGCTTCTTATACTCTGCTTCCCTTTCTAGAAAGTCCATTTCTAATTGAAGACACGCTGCCTTGGCCGCTGCCTTTGCTCTTCTAGATCTTACTGAAGAGGAGGAAGAACGCTTGGATAATTTTGACGAAACCAGAGACATTTTATCGCTTGTTTGTCTTTCCACACTAAGCAAGGCTTCGTTAATTCTAATGCGACATTGGAAATGTTCGCGATCCCGAATATCAAACCACTCGTACGCTTCATCTGCTTCCTTAGTGTCATGCAATTCCTTGTAATAATTGTGATGAGCGTCATTCATCCTATCCCTACACAAGTCTAGACTGTCACGCTCTTGCTCTAGGACTCTTGCGTCTAATTCTTTTATCGATTCGAGTAAAGAGTTTACCTTCGTTATCTGCCTCCTCAGAGCGACTCCTGCGGCCTTTCGCTCCTCAACAAGCCTTTCCAGGCGAAGTGACTCGCCCTTTTCGGTAGGGATTCTTTCTCTTCTGTCCCTTTCAGTCGTTTCAACGCCGACTTGATGGTCTTCGTTCTGTTCGCTCGTGACTTCTTCCATCGTAGGATTTGCCTGCGCCATGGCTATTGTATGCAGTCGACAAACTCCCGCTAATATCTTGAATTCCTCCAATCTTCACTATAGCGACGCTTGATCGCCGCTAGCTGGACCGTACGAATCTCACTGATCGACACAACAAATATCGCCCCAATTTCTTTCATGGAACGCCTCCTTTATTAAATGTCGTATTTGACCGTGAAGCTAAAAATAATTGATTCACAAAATTAGGGACAAGAAATTAGCTATAGAAACACTCGAGGTAAATTAAACTTACATTGTTGCCGGATCTGGCGAGAGTTGACACAAAAAGGACCTTTCCTTCCTTCGATAAAAACGACAGACAATTTCTTTCTATTAAACCACGAGTGCTTGCGAAATCGATCGAATTATTGAATTGCACAATAGATCCGTTCTGTTTGGAAATGCGATACCACTTACGGAACGCGTGACGAGGCACCTAGTGTGACTTCTACAGATTATTAATTAAACGATTACTAAATCAAAACAAGGAATAAACCCGTGCCTTAGGGGCACTTACACAGACATTCAGTTTTACCTTCAATTTTAGGGGCAGTTGACGTTGTTGTACCGGCACCGTCTATAGGTAGAGACATGACTGTCTTGATAATAGCGTCATTACCGCCCTGCAAGGCTGCGTGTCGTGAGTCCCATCCAAGCCAGCCTGTCACATATGGATCTGCTTCCTTTTTGTTACTGCCGTTATGCGTGATGTCACGCACTCATTAGCTAGATCCCGAGAGGCGCTGCGAGTTAAAAAATACATGTGCTCGATCGAAGTGGAGAATCGTTTCAACGCCCGTTTAACGTCATCGTTTATATTATAAGGACACAAACGTAAGTTTTTTTTGGTTTCGTTTCTTGTTTGTCTAGCCTTTTTCCGTATTTATAGTTGTAAATTTCCTTTGTTTCCTTTAGTTTTCGAAACCGTACAACGTTCGTTCAAGATTGTAAAGTCCATTTCATAATTACAAGTACGCGTGTTCAAGTTTGTGTTGTCGTACCGTTTTATGCGTGCACATTTCGTTTCGAAAAGTTTAACCCTCATCGCATACTGGTTTATTGGAACTTATCCTACGTTTATTTGCAATGTTGGGCGAACTGTTCGCCACTCATCGCTAATTTGAAGCGACTACCGAAGGATTAATTAGTGCCTAGTCCACCATGAACGATGAACCTGTCGCTGAGGGCGCTGGGCCTGGGTTTCCTCCGAACGAAAGCTGTCCCGATACTCGTGTAAGGAAATTAACTGAAAAGGGTCAAGAAGAGAAATTAAGGCGACTGAAAAACGATCAAACTGCCAAAACGACTGCTGTGACAAAGCAAAGGAATGCTCTCACAAACTTAATGGAAGATGAGAACAATCTTCATTTAGTGAAATCAGAGGTTATTGTATTGAACACATTATTCAAGGAGTATCAAGAAGCACGTGACCTTTATTATTGCCAGTTGACCTCCGAACAGGATCAAGACAGGGAACTTGATCGCTATGAAAGTAAGGAGAAGTCATTTTTGGAATTTAGGAAACAGGTTATGGAATGGATGAATGTAGCAGAACGTCGCTTAACAGAAGAACTTGATCTGCTCTCAGAAGTAAAATCGGCTTCATCCAAATCGTCCCGTGTTAGCACCCGTTCGAAGAAGTCTTCAGCCAGCTCAACGCCATCTGCACGAGCAAAGGAGAAACTTAAGCTAGCGGAATTACAAGCTGAAAAACAAATGCTAGAACGCAAACAAGCTCTACGAGCAGCAGATGAAGCCTTGAAACTGGAAACTGAAATAGCGAAAGCCCAGGCCAGAGAAAGGGTTTATGCCGATTTGGAAAATGATGGTAACCTAGAAAATAAGGATGGTATTGTTCCCTGTCTCCAGCAAAGTGAACCTAAATTCATGGCTTCAACACCTGCCGCTCATCTCAACCCTGCTGCCCCAGAGTTTCACTCAAACAGTCTAGCCGGCGAGATATCGCCTCCGGCTAACAACGGGACCACTGATGTACCACAAGGAATTATCGCTGCAGCTGATGATCCCTATCGATTGGAACCCCATGAAAGGTCTTTCAAAGAAGTGATGGCCATGCAGCGACAGCAAAATGAGCAAATGATTGCAACCCATCGGCAACTGGCTGCAGCAATGACTCTGCCTCAACCTGAAGTGCACAAGTTTAAAGGAGACCCCATCGAATATGGAACCTTTATCATGGCATTCAAGGCAAGGATAGAGTCCAGAACATTCAGGGCGGCAGATTGCTTATACTACCTGGAACAACATCTTGAAAGGGAACCACGAGAACTTATTGGAGGCTGTCTGCATATGGACCCTTCTGAAGGATATAAGGAGGCGAGGAGGTTACTGGAGAAGGAATATGGGGATCCCTTTAAAGTTTCAATGGCCTATGTGAACAAAGCTCTCGGATGGTCCCCAGTTCGGCCAGATGACGCATCAGGACTAAAGCGTTTATCGCTTTTCTTGATTAAGTGTAAAAATGCTATGATGAGCGTGTCTCATATGAATGAGTTAAATCATCCTACGAACCTGCAGACCATTGCAAAAAAGCTTCCCTCGCATCTCCAGTCAAGATGGCGTGATCGTGCTGCGAAATTGAAAGAGAACGGAAGGATAGCGAGCTTTAAGGATCTCGCTGATTTTGTGGTGTCAGCAGCCGAATCAGCGAACGACCCTGTATTTGGCGTGCAGGCTTTAAGTAGTACCCAGGAAAGGCGCAGAGATAACAGTGGGAGAGATGGCAAGAAGAAGCCCTCGTCAGCAACTAAAACAAGCAACAGTTTTGCCACTGGTATCACCATTCCCGGCATAGAGGCTGTAAACCATGCGAACCGAAACAATGCTGGTGGCAAGGAAAAGTTGTGCCCCTTCTGCAGCAAGAACCATGACCTGGATGATTGTGCGGAATTCCTCAAAAGGACCATGGATGAAAGGAAGACATTTCTTTACGAAAGAAAATTATGCTTTGCCTGTTACGAATCTGATCATGTATCCAAAGGTTGTGTAAAGAGACGCACCTGCAAGAAGTGCAAGAAACGGCACCCAACAGCATTGCACATTGATGGTTTCACAATGAATAGAGAGAGCGTCAGTAACAAACCCCAAGCGACGGAAGTTCAATCTATAGCGGTTAGCAATAGGCGCATTGATGTCTCTAAACCTGTACAGGACGCACCAAGTTGCAAGGAGTCCGTAGTGCTACATGCCATACTCCCAGTTAAAGTTAAACAGAAGGGCTGTAACAATTCAGTTGTCACGTACGCGTTTTACGATAATGGTAGTGGCGGCTGTTTTGCAACCGAAAATATCAGGAGACAGTTAGGAATAGACGGTGTCAAGGTTATGCTACAACTCACCACCATGCATGGACAGAGTCAAGTGGAAAGCATCATTCTGGACGATCTTATCGTTACGAGCCTAGATGATGAGAATCCCATTGAGTTGCCTCGCTCATACACAAGAGATGAAATCCCAGCAGAACATCACCAAATTCCCACGCCCAGTCTCATAAATCAGTGGTCACACCTTTCCGAGGTTGCGAAGAAAATCCCTGAGCTTGAGCCTCGCCTGGAGATTGGACTACTCATTGGCAGCAATTGCCCGCCTGCCTTAGAACCATTAGAAGTTGTACCTTGTCGAAGCGATGGCCCATTTGCCCTCCGTCTCCGCCATGGTTGGACAGTCTGTGGACCTCTCCATATCCGAACTGATCATGACAAGGACAAAATAATCGCGAACCGAATTACAGTGAGAGAAGTGGAAACGCCGAAGGAAATCATTGCTCCAACGTCATTGCTCAGAATGTTGCAGATGGACTTCAACGATCACACCGTAAGCAAAGCACCGGACGAGCGTGGGCCTTCTCAAGAAGACAGAAAGTTTTTAACTATGGTTGAAAGGGAGACGAAAGTTGTCGACGGCCACTACCAAGTTCCTCTTCCATTGCGACATAGCGATATTATCATGCCCAACAATAAGGAGCAAGCAATCAAAAGAGCAAACTGGCAGAAGAAAAAGATGTTGAGAGATTCTAAATACCGCTCTGATTACGTTTCCTTCGTAAACGATGTCATCGCCAAAGGGTATGCACAAAGAGTTCCAAATGAGTTGCTGATACCGAACCCAGGCAAGGTGTGGTATCTACCCCATCATGGGGTGTATCACCCGAAAAAACCAGAAAAAATACGCGTCGTATTTGACTGTAGTTCAAAGTTTCAGGGCGTGTCGCTCAATGACTGTCTGATGCAAGGTCCAGATATGACAAACTCCCTAGTAGGCGTGCTAACCAGATTTCGTGAAGACCCCGTAGCCTTCATGGGAGATGTGGAATCCATGTTCCACCAGGTTACAGTTCCTCCTGAACAGTATGATTACCTCCGTTTCTTATGGTGGCCAGATGGCAATCTAGAAGCCGAGCTACAAGAGTATCGGATGGTTGTACATTTATTTGGAGCGGCCTCGTCGCCAAGTGTCGCTAACTTTGCCCTTAAGCGAACCGCAAGGGATAACGAAGATAAGTACGGTACCTTGGTTGCTGACACGCTGCGAAATAACTTTTATGTGGACGATTGTCTACGTTCCGTAAGCTCGGAAGGTAAAGCAGTCGAGCTGATTGAAGGTCTTCGGCAATCCTGTAAGAAAGGTGGATTCCGCCTCACCAAATTCACTTCCAATAGTCGTGCAGTTTTAGAGTCTATACCAGAGGATGAGCGATCGAAAGAAGTCAGATCAATAACCCTTGACTGTGACAACCTCCCTATCGAGCGTGCCTTAGGGATACAGTGGTGCGTACAATCAGATTGTTTTGGATTTCGAATCGTCATTAACAGCAAACCGTTTACAAGACGAGGAGTCATGTCCACCATCTCATCAATCTTTGATCCCCTGGGCTTCATCGCTCCTTTCACACTTCTAGCGAAGAAGCTGTTACAGGATCTCTGCCGCAATGAAGATCTCGACTGGGATGACGACATTCCGGAAGACTGCCGCAGTAAATGGCTAAGATGGTGTGGAGAGCTTCCGTTACTAGAGCAATTTCACATTGATCGGTGTCACAAACCGCCGGGTTTTGGCCCAGTTGTCTCCAGACAGCTCCATCTGTTCTCCGATGCAAGCCAGGTGGGGTATGGATGCGTTGCCTACCTACGTCTAATGGATAACATGGGTCGCATACATTGTTCCTTTTTAATGGGGAAGGCTCGTCTTGCACCTATTAAGGCCGTAACAGTCCCACGCTTAGAATTAACTGCAGCAACCGTATCTGTTCGCGTGGGACAAATGCTGTATGAAGAGCTTGAAGTTAAGCCTGAGTCTATCATCTATCACACCGACTCGACGACGGTTCTCCGCTACATAAGAAACGAGCGGAGGAGGTTTCAGATATTCGTGGCAAATCGTGTGCAATTGATCAGGGACTTCACTAGTCCTATGCAGTGGAAATACGTGGACACCAGTAGCAATCCGGCAGATGATGCCTCAAGAGGACTTTCCGCCGCTGGACTTCTGCAGCAGCAACGCTGGTCAAATGGTCCACACTTCCTAGGGAAATCAGAAAAGGACTGGCCGCAGCAGCCCTTTCCAGTCGGTGAGGTCCCAGATGACGACCCTGAGGTCAGAAAAGTTGCTTCCGCCGGTACCATGGTAATGGAAGCCACGGCTACGTCAGTTAACAAACTAATAGAATACCACTCGAGTTGGTATCGCCTGAGATTGTCGGTGGCCGCATTCCTTAGAATCAAGGCTGTATTGCGAAAACGGAAGGAGATTAGAGGCCAGGGTTCTCTCGAGATAGATTCGGACCATGGTCAGGCAAGGTCGGGCGTGAAGTCACTACAAGCTGAAACGAAGGTAGTGGGTGACTGCTGCGCACCGCTCTCAGTTCAAGAGTTTGAAGAGGCCGAGATGGCCATCCTTCGCTTCGTACAGTTGCAGTCCTTCAGTAGAGAGTTTGACGCTCTCAGACAAGTCAGTGACAAAGGCGGTGGAGACGAACGGGGTCGGGCAAAGCAAAAGAAAATGGTGCTGAAGAAAGCAAGTTCCCTAACTCGGCTGGATCCCTACATTCATGAAGGCCTCCTTCGTGTTGGTGGCCGCCTTAGCCGCGCTGACGATCTTCCAGAAGAAACGAAACACCCCATCATCTTACCTCGCAAGAGTCACGTTACGAACTTGATTATCAAACGCCTACACGAACGCCTAGCACACGCAGGCCGCGGTCACACTCTTGCTAAATTGAGGGAGAAGTACTGGGTCACCGGTGCCAATGCTGCTGTTCGTCACCTAATCGCAAATTGTGTTACTTGTCGCCGTAATCGTGCCCCTGTCGCTGAACAGAAAATGGCTGACTTGCCTAAAGACCGAGTGACTCCAGCCCCGCCATTTACGTATACTGGCGTGGATTACTTCGGTCCGTACATGATCAAAGAAGGTCGAAAGGGACTCAAACGGTACGGATGCCTTTTCACATGTTTAGCAAGTAGAGCAGTGCATATTGAGACCGCCAATTCTCTCGAAACAGATTCATTTATCCAGGCTCTGAGGCGATTTATTGCTCGTCGTGGACCTATCCGAGAGATCCGGAGCGACAACGGAACAAATTTTGTAGGCGCCAAGACAGAGTTACAGCAAGCAGTTTACGAAATGAACAACGAGCAAATCAGAAGCAGGCTGCATCTAGAGGGTACAGATTGGATTTTCAACCCACCGAGTGCCAGCCACATGGGCGGCATTTGGGAGCGGCAGATTCGCACTACCCGCAAAGTACTCACTGTTCTACTCCATGAGCATGGCTCCCGTCTGGATGACGAATCCTTTAGAACTCTACTATGTGAAGTTGAAGCTATCATTAACTCGAGACCGCTAACATTCGCTTCGAGTGATCCCGATGACCTCAACCCACTAAGTCCCAGCAATCTCCTGACGATGAAAACCAGCGTTGTACTTCCCCCAGCAGGAGTTTTTCAACGCGCAGATGTCTATATGAGGCGGCGCTGGCGGAGAGTGCAGTACTTGGCAAACTTATTTTGGACGCGTTGGAAGAGAGAATATCTCCCAACTCTCCAACCTCGTTCGAAGTGGAACAGTCCCAAACGGAATCTAGCTGTCGGAGACGTTGTCCTGTTGAAAGACGACAACTGCCCGAGGAGTGTTTGGCCGATGGGACGAGTCATAAGCGCGGAATCAGACAAGAAGGGGTTGGTACGCACGGTTCATTTGAAGACCCAAACCTCCCAACTACGCAGACCAGTTGACAAGGTTGTCCTCTTGCTAGCTAAGGAAGAACAATCGTGCCTCGATAATGAACAATGAAACAGGAAGCTCGTAAGGGCTGAACCTTCATGGAATATTCATAGTCCCTATTTCTTTAAGCGGATTGTGTGACGGACTAGACCCGTTAGCTTTAGCAAAGGACATGACAAGTTATTTTTCATAATTACTACTTTATTTTGTAGCTAAGAACTTTCCATGTTAAGCATCGCTTAAGGGGTCGGGAATGTTACTGCCGTTATGCGTGATGTCACGCACTCATTAGCTAGATCCCGAGAGGCGCTGCGAGTTAAAAAATACATGTGCTCGATCGAAGTGGAGAATCGTTTCAACGCCCGTTTAACGTCATCGTTTATATTATAAGGACACAAACGTAAGTTTTTTTTGGTTTCGTTTCTTGTTTGTCTAGCCTTTTTCCGTATTTATAGTTGTAAATTTCCTTTGTTTCCTTTAGTTTTCGAAACCGTACAACGTTCGTTCAAGATTGTAAAGTCCATTTCATAATTACAAGTACGCGTGTTCAAGTTTGTGTTGTCGTACCGTTTTATGCGTGCACACTTTTCCAAAAGATAATGAAAGGCTTCACTCTTGCCACTTAGAGCAGCAATTATCAATGCTGTGTTGCCATCGCCATCTTTGGAATTGATGTCTTCGTAAAGATAACAAGAAAACACTGTCTTTATGATGGCGACATTACCGCCAGCTGAAGCAGCGTGCAATAAGTTCCTTCCAAAATTGCCCCTCACCCAAGGATCTGCCCCCTTATTCAAAAGATGATAAAATGCCTCACTCTTGCCACAAACTGCAGCAATTATCAATGGCGTGTCATCATTTCGATCTCTTGAATCTATATCTAGACCACGTGACAGCATTGTCTCGATGGTGGCAACACTACCACTCTGTGAAGCTGCGTGTAGACAACTCCTACCAAGCTTCCCTTTCGCAAAGAGATCGGCTCCTTCGTCCAAAAGATAATCCACAGCTTTACTTTTGCCAGATGCCGCTGCAAATATTAATGGTGTGTCACCAGAATGATCTTTTGAATCGATATCAAGACCATATGACAGTAATGTCTCGATAATGGCCACATTACCACTCTGCGAGGCTAAGTGAAGCGAATTTCTGTCAAACCAATCATTCGAATTTGGATCAGCTCCCCTATCGAGAAGGTAACGGACAATGACCAAGTTATCAATACGAGCAGCGATCATTAGCAGCGTCTCACCATCTGGACTGTATTTTGAGTCGATATCGAAACCTTGGGAGAGTATTCTTTCGATAGTGGTGACATGACCGGTCTTTATAGCTGATAACAGTAACTTCCACTTCTCTAGCTCAGTTGAAGTGATTTCACTTCCATCTGTAACAAAAAGTGAGAGAGCCTTTTGAATTAAAGTTAGGTGGTAGAAAAAATCCCATGTTAGAAAATACCTAAGTACATAATGTACCACAGTGTTAACCCTTTACACCTTAAGATCAGAGTGCAAGTTCTCTACGCTGTTCTTTATACTTTTCTCATGGTACTTACAAGGAGAGTCTGTTTAACGATCAAGGAATTCTTTTAGTTGATGATCATTTCTGTTATTCTCATCACCATAATGTTTGATAAAGGGGTGATACTGGTGGGAGTAATAAGATGCTTATCACTCTTAGGGTTGAGATAGGGAACAATATCAAGCCATCATTATAAAATAGCTAGTAAATTTGTCCAATCAAATTCAATTGCGTGAGCGTGCTTCAAATTCCTATTGTGCACGCTCATGACATTAGCAAACAAATCCCTCGCGAAAAAATTTTTTCATCGGGTTGAAAATGTTATAAAACAACTGGTTCATACGTCAGCTATGCATTCATTGAGATATGAAGCACTTGGGAAGTTTGGAGAGCACTCAAGAAGCTAGTCAAAAGAGTTGCTCTCGGCTATGCCTCCAGCAACCCTTAAGCATCTTCTGTGCTCTCCAAACTTCTCACGTGCTTCATATCTCGATGAACGCACGCTGACGTATGAACCAACTGTTAATTGAGCTGCAGAGAGGACATGTTCTCAAACAATTTTCCTAAGACGACATTATTACTTGATTTTGAGTTCACAAGCTATTGCAAATATTATCATTCACTTGTGGATGAGAAACCCTTAACACCTACTGAAATTTACATCAACGTGCACTAAAAGACTACTGACAAGTGTGACGGGAGCTGAAAAGAAGAAAAGCCTCTTTCAATGCGTCGTTTTCCCAGATTTTTTCCCTATCTTCGATGATAAGAATTTTCTGTTACGAATGGTGTTACTTTGTCACTTATCAATAGATCATAAATGATTCAGTGAAGTTCCTCACTAATTACCTTCTCTACATTCTATCAACACTTGTGTCATTCGCATTTTTTTCTACCCATGTCATGACTAGCTCCCCTTAAAGTTCGAGTTTCTGTCTGCAATCAAATACTCTCTTTATGATTGTAAACCAAGGCTGCACAATTCCAGAATGTCATCCCTTCAAACATTACAGCTCCATCAGGAGGCAGCTTTTCTTTTGCAATTTTTTATGAGAAGCCGCGATACAAGAGAATAACAAATTAGTGTTTTGTTTCCATTACATTACGACTCAAATGTAAAAAAAACTTTCTTTGTACATGGAAAGCGTTTTTACCAATTCTCCATCGACCCCTCACAACGAAATTTGCGTTATACTGGTTCTTGAGGAGAAAAGAAATGTCAGAAACAGTCACGTATCATATCTGTGTGTCGAAACTAATAAAAATTGAGAAGAAAACAAAAATGTCAAAAAATTTAATGACACTGACCAATGCTTTCTAGGTCAATTTCACTTGGTGTGCCACAGGTTGGCAGTCCGCTGTCAATACCATCTGATGTCATACTTTGTGTTTCATTCTGCAGGTCGTCCACATATGTCGTGATGTAACGGAATTTGTCTTGGAAGTTGACATAATGATGAGCTAAGAGAGCAATGGAGAAGTAAACAAAAAGAAATATGTTTTGATCCGTGGACGCCTCTTTACTATGTAGTCAAACCTCACTAAATTTGAGTAAAAGTAAATTTTAGTAAAAGAAAAAGTTAACAGTGAGTATTTGCATTGCCTCTTATATAGACGTAATACAAAATCGAGTGGGAGAAACTAGAGAGATGCTATTATCTTTAATAATAAACGAGGACATCACTGGCATCCTAATTGAACGCATCTTCTAAATGCTAAATACAGGGCTTGTAATATCAGCAGCGGCACCCAGAATAAATCAAATCAGTGATGAGTCTATCACCAATATAACTCTTTATCCTCACGTACATCGGCAATTTAACAAAATAACTGATGAAAATATTTAAAAGATGATTCTAGAGAATTAGCAAATCTAAAGAATAAGACTTAGGAACCGTTTGGTATCCAGAGTAATGGTCAGTGGATCGAAGATTTGGCACCAAAAATAGGACAGTTTTTACTTTATTTTTTGGTCTGATATTTCCTCTACATGAGAGATGATATAGATATCCATTTACTTTTTAATTAGATTGTGACATTTTATCATTTAGCATCTCTTCTTGCATAGCTAGAGAAAAATTCCTTTAATTACGAATTTACCTTTCTCAAATGGAACCATTTGAGTCTCTACAGCTTCCATTCTTTCCTCCAGAGACTTGACTTGGTTCTTAACTTGTGTTAGTGTTATCAGAGAATTTTCATCTGTTCTGGGTGGGAGAGATAACACTGAGTCGGAGTGCCTACGAACACCTCGTTCCTGAGGTCGCTTCTGGTTACCTAACAGTAGTCAGACAATCATTTTGATTATTTGTAGATCTATTGTAGTTTTCATACCTGACACACACACATCCACGCACCCACCCACACACGATAAGGAGCAGTGCAGGATTTAGTGAAGGGGAGTTCAGATAAATGTCCACCGAAAGCAGACCATCCAAGAGTGGCCGGGGGTATGTATCCCTCAGAAAATTCTTAAATGGGATCAACAAGTAATATTTTCCTGGTGTATCCAATTTAAGGTTTTCGTGAAAAAACTGCAAGTGTTTTTAATGTTTTCATTTCAGGTTTAGGAGGTTCAGCCAAATCACCCAAACAACCGTAGACCCGCCAAAGAAATTCGCTACAAATTTGGAAGCCATGGTTTGCAATTCAAGGAACTGAATTCTGTTCCATATTTCGTTTCCCATATTTCAGTGATTGAATATTAACCTGAATACCGAAAATAGAATGGGCTGTCAAAGTTTAAGTCCCTTAAACCATAACGTAGAGTCAAACACGGCAATGATCCTAATTCACATTTAATTGTGTGACCAATAATATATATTTATCTGATTTACTCAAAACAGCTCTCGTTCATAACTTAATTTGATTGAAGCAGAAGCAAAGCTGTGCAATTAAATGTATTCTTCTTGTTACTGAACAGCTAAATTCCTACACTTCAACAACCAAAACAAAATTAAGCTGGAAATATAATAAGCCAATGAGACTGTCCAGCCCAAGTTGGCAAATCAAAGTAAAGGAGATTGCTAGTGGGTAGATAGTTCATGCATGCACTGCTTCAGCATGAAAGAGGATAATTAAATTACAATTGACTGGTCCAAGAAACATGTTTTGTTTCGCTATTCAATTATCTATGATCTATCACCATTAATTTATAAAGCAAAATTTGACAAAAGAGTAGTTTAAGTTTACAGTTACGCAAATTGAGCCAAAATCAAGCAGTTCATTCCCTTGTAGTTTTTTTTTAACTTTGCTATTGAAGCAATGACCCCGGAGGAGATTGGCTTGCGAGCGTAGAAAAGATGCAGAATAAAAAGATCTCCAGTGTTTTTTATTTTTAACACGTATCAACAAACGCCTATGTTTTAATTAACATCCTTCTGCGTTCTTCAAACTCAGTTTGCTACACCCACATAAAATTACTCACCGTCAGCTTCTTGAACAAGCTCAAAGTAAGCTTTCTCATATTCTTCTTTTTCAATCGTCACAGTTAATTCCACATTCTCTTCACCACCGGCACGGGTCTTCATTTCATCAGTCACAAAAAAGTCGAATAAATGTTCCCTGAGCGTGCCATCCTCGTACATGTTCCACAAAGCAGTGAGCCCCATGAGATTGTCGACCTGAATTGTAAAGCATACGCACCCTTGACCCACTTCAATCAATCTTGAACCAGCAGGAAGCACACAATCCTGGAAGCTGGTGACTAACTGATCATAAGTTGACCAGCGAGTCAAAATCTCACGGACAGAGAGTAAGGTTATTCCCGCTGCTGCCACTCCACACACTGTCTTCATGTTCAGTACTAAAACAAATAGCACTAAATTCAATTTTAAATGTTGATATTTCAATCATTTTTGGTGGTAATCAGGCAAAGATCACTGTTAACAAGTTGGAAAGGAACCGTCAGAGGTGCGTGAATATGACTGTCCAACATCGAGGTATAATTATTTTGTTTTGCATTGTTTGATTCTGCTGACTTTTTAATTTTTGAGGTTTATGAGAAAACATACCGTCGCTGACAAAGTGATCACACGGTTAAACCAAATAAATCGCAGTCCCAAGCAAATTATGTACAAATAAATGTCTGGAATGGGAATTAGACTGTAGAATCTTAGAAATCTCGCTCAAATGGTATTTTTCAGCTTTGAGCGAGCATTTCAGCCACGTGATCCACATCCGGAAGCGAGCAAATAAACCTAATGGATTATAACAGACTATACAGATTATAAAATAATTCAAATAGTACGCATGCTCTGATTGGCCATAAAACCATTTTACATGAGCGTATGTAAACATGGTTTTCGTTCCCCTTTCATTAGTTATTTTATAACAGAAATGTAAAATGGTTTCCGTGTTTACATAGCCTGATGTAAACACTTGGGAGGTTGGGAGAACACTCGATAAGCTGGAAACCAATCCGCTTCGCGTCGTAGTTTCCTAAGCTTATCTCGTGTTCTCCCAACCTCCCAAGTGTTTACATCAGGCTATGTAAACACGGAAACCATTTTACATTTCTTCGATAACAACTTTGCACCAGAAAAAAAACATACATCAATAAAATGCTTCGTCAACATCATACCTAAATTTTAGGTGGACAATAAACAACTAGTGTTTATTGATGGACGCTCTTGAAAAAACTTTAAATTATTACTTATCCGTCATGACAATTTCCTCGCTGGCGAATTTTGGGGGCACGACTCAGATCAGACGCGGTGATACGAGCATGTTAACGAGTACGCTAGATATCTGATATCTCCGTAAAATAGTTTTATAGCAAATCGTTTAAAATGCATCACTAGTTTTGAGTGCTTCAGATCTTTGGTTTGTCTATGGAGTTTGGAACTCTTCCATACTCATGCTCGACACTTACATCACAACAATTTTTAACTCACCTCCGATTACTCTTCCACCAACAACCCTGGCTGCTGCAACAATGCTACCGGCTTGGGCTTAAATTGTAAGATTCAGTGACGCATTGTTAGATTCAATGATAAATAAGGCAGGAGAATTGTAATAAACTGACATAATCGGATTATTTTGAATTTTAAGGTCTGATCAATATAGTATGTTATGGTCACTCGATGGACGTTATTTGATAAAAGACTCTGAGAGACTTTCCTGCAAAAAATGCAGGAAAACATGAATTTCAGAGGACTAAATGATCGATACCTTTCCTTCTTTCAAATTCATCCTCATCAATTCGTCGCTTCTCGAAATCCTGAACTTTCTCCACCAGATCTTGCCTCTCAATTCCCGATAAAATCCCTTTCAAGAAATCAAGACGATTAAACGCAAAAAGTCCTCGGCGTTCAAGTTTTTCGAACAAAATTCGAGCAGTTTGAGTGTTTCTTTCATTTTCCTCCAACGTTTCCCTCTCGGTGCAGACAGCAACCAGTTGCTGCAATTGATTGCTTTCGTCGAGGGCACGGCTGATCTGTTCAAGCAATTCTTTGTATTCTTTCCTTTTGTCCTCGAACTTTCTCACTTTCTGAAACAACGACCATTCTCCAACCGCTTTTAGCAGCTCTTTCCATAGCTCAACTTGATCAATGGCCAAATTATTTTGATCCTCTAGCTCTCGAAAGAGCGAAAGTGCATTAGGGATGTCTTCAGGTCTTGACGCCACAAGCCCTCTACACATCAAGAGTAAGTGTTCATGTTGGTTCAGTTGATCGAGTCGTTGGCTTATCTCAAAAAGAAGGTGATTATATTCTACGTAAGACATTTCAACTGTCGTTACTATGCATCTAAAATACTAGCATTTCGATCGAGCGCAGATCGGTTTTAGGCATTCCATTTAAATTTACAACATGGCGGAAGAGTTTCGTTCCATGTCACGCTATGTTTACGCACGATCGGATATACGTCACACGTCATCACCTTGGTCCACAGATAGATCTTGGATCGGACTTGGGACTGTGAAGTGCTTACTCCGTTCATGAAGTCCCCTTTCGAGCCATAAAAAATTACTTAGCATACAATTACAGGTGTGAGATACGTCGTGCTTTTGATCAAAAAAAAAATTTCATAATTCATTCATAAATGAATAAATAAATAGTTTTAATTCAAAGAAATGCTGAGAAATTCTTAACGAAGGAAATATCAACTTGATTGAAAGACGGCTTTGATTTGCATTGACGATTGAATCAAAGCTCTATGTAAAGTTTTATATTGATCGACCAATGAAATCACTGAGGTGTTTTATATTTTGTAAACGGTGTCCCATGCATACATCATTTGGAGTACTAAGTTAAAAGGGAACAGCATATGATGCGTTAACTTAAAGTTTATGTCAATATCAGGTCAATCGAAAAAGAGTCTGTAGGACACCTAAGAAATGGTTTCGGAAATGAGAAGCTAGAAAAGTGAAGGTTAAGGATGTGGAGTAAAAGACGACATCCACAAACTATAAGCTTAAAAGGGCAGATTTGGACTTTTTCCCTCGCATTAGTTCGCTGAGGTTAAAAGCCCCATTGGACGAGAATGTGCATTGAATTCACCGTATATGTGACCTATCTTTCCGCAAATTCAATTTTTATTCAATTACCTGAGAGGCACTGAACACTTAGTCAAAATTAGGTTTGTTGCTAAGACTCGGAATTTTCTTGAAAGGGAGGAAAGCGTTTCTTAATCCCTTGCACCCTAATATCAGCCTTCATATTCTCCACACTGTTCTCTTTACATTTGCTAAGTGATGACAAGGAGAATTTCTCCAAAAATTAAGAGCTTCTTCAGTTAATGATCAATTTTCTTTATTTTCCTCAGGGGTGATATTGTAAGGAGAAATTAGATGCTTGTCACTCTTTGGGGTCTTTCTTTGAAAGAAAAAAAAAACCGGATCATCAACGAATCCCTACTCCTATCGCAGAATCTGGCTGACTCGCTTCATTTAGGTTTTCACACATTTGTTTTATTTATTGTGGTTGGTTTTAGTGTGGAATTAGTCAAAACGTTCCCCCCGGAATCACAGTTGTTGCTGGTATAACTCACCCCACTGAGTAAGACTTCTACCTCTGCAGTCACGCTGGAATTCAGGTAAGGCTTTGTCACTCTCTAATTCTCAGGGCTGAGTAACATAAAACTTCTCCCCAGATTTTTGTTAAACATAAAGCAAACAGTTGGTGAGAATACTTACACATTGTATCAGTTGGTCCTGATGTGAACTTGATGGAACACTAGATTCTCTTGGCAAATTTACAATGAAGTTTGAATCAGCTGGTAGGGAGAATCAACAATCACATCTTGGGAATTTACTACGTACCTAGATGCCTCGCGGAAATCGAGGATTTACCGGTGTCTGGGAAGACCGAATGATTTCAAAAAGGGATTAGAAGACGAATCAAAAATTCCGATCATTCTTCGAGAGTTTTCTGACCTCTCCTCCCTTTAGCGGGGGGATTTCTAAGCTCCGTAGCACGCCCGACCCATGCCATTTGTATTTTATGGCCTTTCTTTTCAAAAGGAAAAGTCTAGATAAAACAGTTGGTTACACAGCTGCCGGACTCTCACTTTCCGTAGCATGAAGCGACCTGGAGTATCACCACTCCCCCTGGTTGGGATGCTATCTTAGTTTGCCCTCATTAATATTTTTCTTTATTCTCATCACTTGTCTGCTTGATATTATAGTGATATGGTAAGGAGAAATTCTGTCTTGGTCACTCGTGGGAGTTAAAAGTTTAAATAAACTCATTTAATTTGACCTTATCTTCGGTCAGTGTGGCGGACGAGGTAAAGAGGTGCTATGTAAACATGCCACCCATCTCGTATTCCTCAGTCATATTTTTATTTTTGAACTGCGCATTGTCAGCAAGATAAAACTAATTACAGGAATGACATCCTAAGTTCGCGACCTACAGATAAATTTTTAAACCTTACCTTTTTCGGTCATTGCAATCAAAGGGATTTTATGGTCGAAAGAAGATTACATTTTTCATGAATAATTCCAACTCCTCTAGACTTTTCCAAAAGTTAAATACTTTTATACAAATTTATTGGCCTGACCGTAAAAGGCGCTTATTTCCCTCTTAAAAGCTTGAATGTTGAAAGTAATCACGTTCTACGATTAATTATCTCGAAGGTCAGTTTAATGAAAAGGCTGTACAAAGAAAAGCGCAACAATTTCATGAGAGTTTATATTTGTGTTCCTTGAACGACTGAATAAATAATGTTTTAACCTTGATTTGCGACACAGAAATTTTTAATATTTTTCCCTGAGATTTTAAAAAATGTCTTGTCATTATCATGATTACAATATTGTTTCAAACCTTATCAGTAGTCTTAGAGTATATTTACACCTGTAGATAATTAAACTTGAATACTTACATGCTTGAATGTTTAGATCATTTACTGAAGTAGTAATGTCACTTAAAGTATTACTGGTACTTCAGTAAATTGACTGCCTCAGCTGTCAGTAAGGCCGTGAGCCAAGCGTTTCTGACTTCTTTAGACGAGAATCTCAACATTCTAATACTCCCATCAACCTGGGAAATCTTATTGCTTTTAGAGTTCTGAACAGTCAAAGACGTAACACTGGACATCATTACGATCTCGGAGAACACCAACACTTCTTGCGTTTTCTCATAACAGTATAGCTTATCTTCCAACAGTATAAAGCGTCTCTTATACCAACGTAGTCTTCCAACCGGCGCGAGGGTTTTTTAGGCGATTAATGCCAAATTCATTGTTTTACAGAAACGTGACTTGAGTTATAAACTGAAGTTAGTATCAAACGACGATTGGTAAAAAAAGTTTAGAATTTTTTAGGGCCTTAGCGTAAGAGAAAACCCGGATAAAATAAGACCTACCTCCTCTTCTTTCTCGTATCCTTTGTGGTTCGCTTCTAGTTGTTGATGACCTCTTTTCAGTCTGTTTTCAGGAGCATCTTTGCATTTCCTCCTCGCGTTGCTCTTCGCTAGATATTCGCCTTTTTACCAATGCCTATTTTTTTGTTCTCTTTCGCTTTCCTCTCGCCGTATTCTGCCTATTTTAGCATCCTTAATTTCTAACTTTCTTGTGTGTTTTCTTCGACTCGATTTACACCTTTTACTTCTTGCCCTCTTTGGTCGCTCTGCCTCTTTCTTTCCAACCTATTTTCACACAAAACCTTCTCTCGACGAACTTGAATTATAACAGTTTCCTCAGGTTGAAAAGTTTTAGTTTTGCCGGTATTGTTGCCTTTCGAGTTAATTAGAAATTACAAAATGCTGAGAATTACCGTTCAACTACAACCTCAACAATTTGGTTTCCCGCTCAAAACGCGGGTTGCAAATTATTTGCATACGCGGCTTGACATTTACCAGCCCACGTGAAACCCTCGTGTAATGCCTAACCGTGTGCCCACGGTACGCAGCACTAAAGGTCGGCACTCGTGTGTGCGCACTTTAGTGTCATCTGCCGGTGTTTCCTGGCGCAGACTAATAGGGTATCCAAGTTACGTACGCAATTGCGCCTGCACATTACCTTCTCCCTCGCCCTTCCATTGCGTAATGGCTAAGATAGTGCCTGCAGTACAGTTGGCCGCGCATGCTAAAAGTAGCACCTTGTAAGGACGCCCGTACGGTTGTAAGTCCAAATTTTTTGGGCTTGATGGGTTACTAATATTTTTAATAATTATGGGGCTGCGCTACGAGCTCTGCTATAATAGCCAAAAAAAATTATTTGCGTTTCGGGTTAATTGCAGGTGACGGCATTGAATCACGAAACTTAAACTGAACTCAAGTCTACGAGAGAGGTCTTTCTCGTTTTAATGCCGGGAATGATAGTGCTCACAGACTAGAAATATTTCTGAGAAGCATGGGGGAGTATGGTTTATGGGAATGTTGTGATAAGTTAACAGTGCTTTTGCACTTTTTTTCAACTTGAAGCAATTCCTTGGCTTATCCATCCTATTCTGCGCACAAATTTCTAAAATTAGCGACCACCCGCGATTACGTAACAAGGTGCCCTGTTATCGATAAACCATCTGATGGAATAGGGTAACTAAGTATTATCAACTGAGTTGATAACGTAAATTGGCCACCGTAAAGAGTTTCAAAGCTGGTGTTTCGAGCGTCAGCCCCTCGTCAGAGCGAATGACGAAGGGCTAACGCTCGAAACGTCAGCTTTGAAACTATTTACGGTGGCCAATTTACGTTATCAACTCAGTTGATAGAACTTGATTACCCTGTTATACTCTCCCACAAACGCTGCTCCACAGTTTATTTTAGAGGCGTACCCCCCTTTATTCATTGAAAAGAATAGCCGCCTTCTCCTGAACGAGGTCATCGCCTTATCTTGTTTTGAAAATAATTCCATTCTTTTATTATCTCCCGTTGTGCTGTAAAACTACAAATAGACGGTTTTGTGACAAATCAAAGGTTGCAAAGATTAAACAATTGTCTTCATATGAGAGGACCATTTGATTATTCTCAAAAGCTTCCTTGCATATTTTGAGATCAAGAATAAGTTCCCCACGAGATGAGGGCAAATGGCGGGGGGGGGAGGGGGAGAGAGAAGGGGGGAGGGGGGTGGGGGAAGGGCTTGAACGAGAAGTAAAGTGGCAGTTACAATTTTTACCTCTTGCATTTATCGAACTAGGCCATTTACTAAGTTACTTACTAAAAAAAAGAAGATCAATTTAAATGTTATGTTTTTAATCTACTACATTTTTAAAGTTGCCAATTCATTACAAATAAAACATTGTCTCATAACTGAAAAGTCTCCCAGCCGTATCACAAGACAACATTAAAAAAAACACACTAATAAGCGTCTAACCAAGGAGAACATTCAGCCATGTGGTGTGATCATCCAAATGACATTTGTCACTTTTCAAGGACTAGAATTGAACTTACAATTTTTCACTTGATTGTCATAATAACTTCTGTTCATGTCTTTGAAATAAAGCCATTGTCACTGACAAGATTTTGGACTACTTCCATCTGGATGATCAAAGCATATGGTCATCTGTCACTCCTAGGATCCAGCAATGTATTACGATAAAAGTATATAGAGTATAGTCCCAATGATATAATAGCCTTAATCACTAATGTAATGGCCTGTTAGTCTAAAACTTGATAGAAGTTCCACTTTGGAATATAAGAAAAGAATGCTTCATCATCTACATATCTTTTAGAAATACTGATACTTAAGACTAAAGTTTAGAAATGCATAACGAATATATAACTGAATTATATGGGAATGTTAAAACATCCAAACACACTATTCTACATTGAGTTTGGTGATAACAAATAACAGTGTACTGCAGTTCTTATCTTAAAATACGCATCTTATTAAAAATCATAAAACACTTATGATACAAAGTTCCAGAGTACCAGGTTAAAGGGGTTTTTGAAAGAGCTCTTGTTTCCTCGATGGGACATCTTTAACCCTCTAACTCCCATAAGTAACCAAGACAGAATTTCTCCTTACAGCATTAATACAATATCAAACAGACAAGTTATGAGAATAAAGAAAAATATCAACAAGGTAAATATTGGTTGATCCAATACCAAATTCTCTAAATTAACATCAAAAGAGTTGTATGACAGACAGTAAGGAGAATTACTGATGAGATCTTGGGAGTGAAAGGGTTAAAGCTCTACATTTGAGTTAATATATGATTGAATGAAATAAACTACAACTCGATGACAGAAGCCTGAAGGGTGAAAAATTTGAACTTAACCCTTTAACCCCATTAGAGTGACTAGCATCTAATTTCTCCTTACAATATCACCCTTGAATCACACATTAAGGTCATGAGAATAACGGAAATGATCAACAACTGCAGAAGCTCTGGATCGTTCAGCTAATTCTCCTTGTCAGCACCTCAGGAAATGTATCAAGAACAGTATGGAGAACATGAATACTGATGTTAGGGTGTAAAGCTATGTTAAATTTGTGATGATATCGTGTGCAGGTGATCTACTTTATACAATCAAAGAGGGAATCGATGTGCCTGCCTAAATTTGTTCCTTCTCTCGCGGTATTATGAATTAATTATTATCCAGTCTTACTCAATATTGTAAATTTTATCAATCGTTTCTTTTCGCGACTATGGACCTGAACGACGTATTTTAAAGGAGCAGTAAGAAATAAAAACTAATGTCCTCCCTCGCTAAGTAGGAAGGTTACGGCCTCAGTTTTGCCATATGTTTTTGCGATTTTTAACGGTGTGCGACCTACAAAATCTGTTGAATTAATATTCAAACCAAGTGACAGAATTTTTGTGATGATGGCCACATTACCACCCTCTGAAGCGGCGTGCAGTGAATTTCTTCCTGACTGGTTTCTAATAGAGGGATAGGCTCCCTTGTCTAAAAGATAATTTACAGCTTCAATCTTGCCATAAGCTGCAGCCCACATCAACGGTGTACTTCCTTCACTATCTTCTGAATCGACACATAGACCACGTGACATTAGTGTCTCGATGATGGTGACATTACCACCCTGTGAAGCGGCGTGCAGAGAAGTTACTCCTGACTGGTTTCTAATAGAGGGATCGGCTCCCTTGTCTAAAAGATAATTTACAGCTTCAATCTTGCCAAAAGCTGCAGCCACCATCAATGGTGTACTACCTCCACTATCTTTTGAATCGACATTTAGACCACGTGACATTAGTTTCTCGATGATGGTGACATTACCACCCTGTGAAGCGGTGTGCAGTGAATTTCTTCCTAACTGGTTCCTAATAAAGGGACCGGCTCCATTGTCTAAAAGATAATTTACAGCTTTAGTCTTGCCACAAGCTGCAGCCACCATCAATGGCGTCCTTCCTCCACTATCTTTTAAATCGACATCTAGACCACGTGACATTAGTGTCTCGATGATTGCGACATTACCACCCTGTGAAGCGACGTGTAGTGAATTGTTTCCTAACTGGTCTCCAATACGGGAATCGGCTCCTTTGTTTAAAAGATAATTTACAGCTTCAATCTTGCCACAAGCTGCAGCCCACATCAATGGGGTAATTCCTATACTATCTTTTGAATCGACATGTAGACCACGTGACATTAGTGTCTCGATGATGGTGACATTACCACCCTGTGAAGCGACGTGTAGTGAATTGTTTCCTAACTGGTCTCCAATACGGGGATCGGCTCCTTTGTTTAAAAGATAATTTACAGCTTCAATCTTGCCACAAGCTGCAGCCCACATCAATGGGGTAATTCCTATACTATCTTTTGAATCGACATGTAGACCACGTGACATTAGTGTCTCGATGATGGTGACATTACCACCCTGTGAAGCGGCGTGCAGTGAATTTATTCCTAACCAGTTTCTAATACAGGGATCGGCTCCTCTGTCTAAAAGATAATTTACAGCTTCAATCTTGCCATAAGCTGCAGCCCACATCAATGGTGTCCTTCCTCCACTATCTTTTGAATCGACATCTAGACCACGTGACATTAGTGTCTCGATGATGGTGACATTACCATCCTGTGAAGCGGCGTGTAGTGAATTTCTTCCTGACTGGTCTCTAATACAGGGCTCGGCTCCATTGTCTAAAAGATAATTTACAGCTTCAATCTTGCCACAAGCTGCAGCCCACATCAATGGTGTCCTTCCTTCACTATCTTTTGAATCGACATCTAGACCACGTGACATTAGTGTCTCGATGATGGTGACATTACCACCCCGTGAAGCGGCGTGTAGTAAATTTATTCCTGACTGGTCTCTAATACAGGGATCGGCTCCTTTGTCTAAAAGATAATTTACAGCTTCAATCTTGCCACAAGCTGCAGCCCACATCAATGGTGTCCTTCCTCCACTATCTTTTGAATCGACATCTAGACCACGTGACATTAGTGTCTCGATGATGGTGACATAACCACCCTGTGAAGCATCATGTAGTGAATTTCTTCCTGACTGGTCTCTAATACAGGGATCGGCTCCTTTGTCTAAAAGATAATTTACAGCTTCAATCTTGTCACAAGCTGCAGCGAACATCAATGGTGTACTTCCTTCACTATCTTTTGAATCGACATCTAGACCACGTGACATTAGTGTCTCGATGATGGTGACATTATCATCCGTTGAGGCGACGTGCAGTGGACTAATGCCAGAGTGGTTTACAATAAAGGGATCAGCTCCTTTGTCTAAGAGGTAATTTACGGCATCTCTTTTGCCAGTCGAAGCAGCTAAAATCAAAGCCGTATTACCATCGTTATTTTTTGCGTTGATATCTATGCCATATGACAACATATCCTCGATGATGGCAAAGTTGCCAGTCTGCACAGCTGATGACAGTGAGTTCCAATCGTCGCCTGCTATCGTCTGAGTGTCACGTGTATCTGAAAAAAAAAAGATAAATGAAAAAATTTCACAGCAGAAGAGACATCTCCGTATTTTGTAATAATAAGAACGTTTATACTCAATATATAAAAATAGACAGTCAAAGATTGCATTTGGCTTCTGATATAGAAAAATTTTTTTTAGAGCATTGGAAAGAACTAGAGGTTGTATAATGACGAAAGAATATAGTTTTGCTGGGGTTCGCTCAAAAGCCTTATGGTTCCCCTATCCTCTGAGCCCCAACAATGTTACTTATGCTTCTTATTATTTAATTGCGATTCCATTTTTTGAGACATTTTTCTTCATACAAAACGGCATTCCGCGTTTTAGGATATTCCGTCATTATGCCGATCCACCGTTCTTCCATTCCATTTTTTAGTTATATAATTCAAGGTATCGTATCTCGCAGCTTGCTCGCTTCGCAAATTGAGCGGCTCTATTCGGCATAATAATAATAATAATAATAATAATGATGATGATGGTAATAATAATAATAATAATAATAATAAATGATGATAATAATAATAATAATAATAATAATAATAATAACTGCGGGTGACAAGAGGAGCAAGCAATCCTAATCTGAACGTTGCCTTTATAAACGCATGCGGGCAGGTGTGTAGTTTGGCCCTGATTCGATTTTTGCTCAAATAGTGAGTCTACCACTAAGAATGTATGGAATGCAAAGAACGCTATTTTCTCACGCGCATCATGTGTAATTTGGACCTTGGAACACGTGAAGCTAACGCATAGCAGCAGCGCCGACCAATCCAAATCAAGCGTGTCGATATCTGGATTCGACGTTTCCGTTCATATCGCGTTGAATGCCATTTCTCGGCCGCATTCCGCTTCAGGCGAGTAGCGAGAGTGTTGTTCGTCTGTTAGTCCTTGACCTCAAGCGTAGAGAGGGAGTTGTATCTGTTCGTCCTTTAATTCAAGCGTGGAGCGTCGGTATTGTTCGTGCTTGACCTGACAAGCGTATAGTCTGAGATTGTTGTCTTTGATCTCATAGAAGCGTGGAGCGAGAGCGTTCTTCGTCCTTCAGTCCTTGGAACGGGATCGTTTATATATTATATTTTGGAATAATCTGAAATGTCTTCATATATTGGTCGTTTCGTTTCAGTAATAAATAAATAATTGTTGCATTACATCAACAATTTTGACTCGATCAATACGCGTATTTTATAACCTACAGTGATTTTCTTTACACCATGAAACAACAACAATTACAGCATATTACTAAAACTAAGCAAAACAAAACAATGGGACTAGTGTCTCGTGGAATGATCTAGTGTTGGTAACTGTTTCACAGGTTTATTAAAATTACCCTATTGTTAGTGTCAAAATAGAGGAAAAAGCGATTGGAGCATGGGGGGTGTCCTCATGGACTAAGTCTTTCATTAACTAAATAGCCAAAAATGCATCGTCCTCGCCCGCATTTCCTAACCTTTGGTTATTACTAGTAATAATAATAATACTTAGCAAGGTAATTTGGTATTATCAACTGAGTTGATAAGTTTAACGTAAATCGGCCATCATTAAGGGTTTCAAAGCTGACGTTTCGAGCGTTAGCCCTTCGTCAGAGCGAATGAAGGAATTGTGGCTCCTGTGTGTGTTTCTATGCAGAAAATGGATCAACGCTTTTGGTGGGAACATGGTAACTAGCATAGATAAGTTGAACGAAAAGTGTTCGTTGATAACCTGGGACTAAGAGTGCCGATTTGAAAGATAACTTCTTTTTTTCGAGGGTTCTGCGGCATTCAAAGAATAAGTTCACCTTCTATACAGAACATTTCAAACACGGTTTCCAGCATTTCACGAAGAATGATAACGGTTTTTCTTGCTGTCATCACAACAAGATCAAAAACTAAACAAGAACAGAATGATAGCTTTTTACATAGATTCTAAGGGTATAAAGCATTTCTGTAAACTTTTAACTAAGTCACGTGATTTCTTACATTTCAATTTTGATCGTTTGACTGATCGATGTAAACCAAAATATAATGAAATGTACATGTATTCTTGAGACATGGTTGAGTCAATCTTGATATGACATTTAAATATCGCATTGGATTGATTGACTTAACCATCACTATTGGGCAGTCGTTTTGAATTCGATGAATATCAATAGAAATAAATAAACTATTGGTTTGGTGGTGTTTGTTGGATCCGGAGTGACTGCTTAGCAGTGTCTGAGATATATTGCTGTATTATTTAAAAGGAGTTGAACATATTTTTCATATTTTTAAATAAATTTATAAATGTTATTATATATTAATATTTTTTTTACGTTATATTATTGTAACACGACCCCACAAACCTCTAGCTTTAAATACTTATCGTGTTTTAGTTTTATTATTAATTATTATTATTATTATTATTATTATTATTATTATTATCAAAGAAACTAAGCTTGGTAATTTTGACTTTTCGATACTGACCACCGATATCCACGTCAAATTCAGATGGTGCTCCTTCAGTTCCCATACCGCTGTCAGATGCTTCAGACATTAAACTTTTCGTCTCAAACAGTAGACTTTCCACGTACATTTTGGTAAAATTCCATTTGTGTTCGTCAATACCCCGTGGCTTGTCTGCGAGCCTTTCGTAACTGGCATTCTGAACTAAAAAAAAAACATAAAGGAACAACATGTTTTTGCCTAAAAATGTCATTTTAAAGTAGGAATGCATTTATGTGTTGAGAAGCTTTTAGGAGGTTTAACAGTTTGCAGTGGGAGCAGGTTGAAGATAGAAAAACTTTAAGAAATAAACTATGGCGCTCCTCGCAAGCTTTCCGCGAGAGGTCGAGGTATAATCAAGAGAATACAAACAATCTCTTGGTATAATCTACTCTCGCTTTTATCAATTTAATCATCAAATTTTCCGCGCACATGTACATGACTAATTTGATATATTAAAAGGCTAGAATGTCTAAATACATCGTCTTTGAAAAGCCTTTGTAAGGAAGGTCAGTAAAGCACAGATATTTGCGAGTATGTAAGGAATGAAATCTCAAAAGACCTGATCTGTTTCAATTCAGTTGTAAACATTTCTAACGAATCTCAGATTTTCTTTCGTTGGAGGAATTTGGTTATGACACGAAAAAGTTTACCTGACTACCCCCCCCCCCAAAAAAGGCTCTGTTATCTTCTTATGACCCCCCTTCCCTTGGTGGCAGTAAAATGGAAGATAATTTTCTACAGTCCCCCCCTTTTATATCATGTTGGTTACGACTGATACCCCTGATACCCCATGAAAACCATGTGTTCCCCCCCCAAGAAAATTCTCCACTAATTAAGAATAACCTTTCAAGTAAAATGCAGTCTATTTTAATCTTCCGAAATCAATGTTAATAGTATTTTTGAGCTTGAGTATTTTCACAATAATGGGTCTGTCATGGCATAAAATAGCGTTTTCGTTTTTCCTCGGTTTTATCATACCTATACCTATGTATTTAGCAGTTAACCTGTATTAAGCGGCAATCCCGTCATTCCCCGTGGGTGACTGCTCAATAAAGGTTTGACTGTATATATTTCATCTAGCTTAACTTGAGTGTTTGCATAATTTATCTACCTTCCTCTGTTGGAATTATTCCCGTGGCCATTCTTGTCTCCGAAAACACAAATGGAAGCCTAGTCATTTGTTTCTCTTGAATCTCCGCTCTCTCCTTTAGAAGTTGGACATCATTATCTAGTCTTTTCACTTTTATTTGCAATGTTTCATCTTCGTTCGACATTGTTGGTATCATTGAATCAGTGTGTTGGCGTTTCCTTCTTTTCTTCGCAGGACCTAACAATAGACAATTTAATTCTTTCAAATGAGGTGATAATTTGAACTGCAGGCCACCGTGAACAAATATTAGTGTTCTAAATTTGCACCACATTTGCTACACTGCAAAAAAAATATGTAAATATGCTGATTTGCTGTTACGGTGTTAATTTGCTTCATCCATGCGCATAGGGCAAATTTTTAAAAATGACAGGAATTTGCGTAAACATTACACTCTTTGCACAAATAATAGTTTGTCTCGGAGTGCAAAACCAGTCAAATCAGTTGTACGAAACTTATTTTTACTGCTACGTTTGAATACCTTTGTTCAAGGGATGCAAATGTATATCTTTGCTAATAGTTTGCTCTAAATTAATCTAAGAGCAAGAATTGATTTACATACATACATATAATACTCGCTCATCAACGTCACAATTCTTTAGCGTTAAGTACTCTAGGCTTAAAATGCAAAAAAAAGCCTTTTCGCGTGTTGGTGTCAAAGTCTGGAATGAGATGCCTAATGAATACAAAAATTTGTCAAAGAAATCCTTCAAAAAAGAAACAAAAAGAGCTCTTCTCAATATTCTAGAAACTGAAGATTCTTATATGGAGCCTGATGAGATAATGCTAAAATTCAAACATAGCAAAATTGAATCAAATTAAACCAGTTCTACAATATTTTTCGTACACTTAGAAACGCTAGGATTTTTTTCTCCTTTACAACGAACATCTGCCATTTTCCTTTTTTTCTATTTTTCTTTTTTTTTGCGTATCTTTTTGTCCTGTTATGTTATATTTCTTCATTTTCATTTTATTTCTAGTGCAATTAAATGAAGTCAGTAAAAAATAAATAAATAAACAAATTTGACCCGCCTCGATTAGCATTTGCTATCCGCGGGTCAAAGGAATATCTTGTAATATGTAAGAAAATGAAAAATAAAAGTGTGAAGTGTGAAAAGTGTGATTTACTATGAGTTTATAACGATGTCAAATCTCCGGAAATAACGCACATTCATGCAAAAAAAACTTCCTTACAAATAAGGAATATTGCCTTAGTGTACTATTACGTGTTACATATAAAGTTGTGTACAGTTGTGCACCTCAAAGTAAAAAAATCAAGTTATTAGTATCTGCATGGACTGCACAAATACATGTCCACTTTGCGTTTGAATTATTGTTGAGTCAACGGCTCAGTTTGAAATCTAATCGCTCTGACGAAGGGCTAACGCTCGAAACGTCAGCTTTTTTACCCTTTACGGTGGCTAATTTACGTTTTCAACCCAGTTGTTAACACTAAATTACCTGCTCAGTTTGAAAGACCGCCCGAAGCTCAGAAAAGCAACCAGCCGTAAAGAACTGATTTGTTAAAGATCTAAATACACAAGTCGAAAGTCTCACGTGAAAGCAACCCGCAAAATGGTACCGAAGGCCGACAAGATCAGCAGCGAAAAGTTTTTCAAGTGTATGGAGGCCTTAGTACAATAATCGAAGAGAATCCCCGAAGCATGGTTACAGATCGAATACTCAAATAAATTCACAATGCAGAGTAAATTTGAATAAGTATCGATGCTTTAACCACGATGCTTTGATCTTTCAAACGTGCGCAAACCTACATGCATACTTATGTTTGGACCGCAAACACAAACCGAAGCAAAATTGTCCAGAATTGATACTTTTGACACATGAAAAACCTAGCGAAGTTCATTGTTGATATTTTACACAAATTTACTACTCTAGTAAACGGGTTCAATGACGATGATTTGGCAGCATTTGCAAACCACTGTAAACTTATTCAAAGTTAACAGTTTGAACATATTTGCTTACCTAAGCAAACTTGTATGCTGTCCAAAGTTTGCACTTATTTTGCTACCTCAGAAAAACGTCGGCAAAAATATAAATTTTACCACATGTTTTCGAAGGGTATAAAGTAAGGTCAACTGCTTAACAGCGCTCAACATTTAGCACGTAAGCAAATATGACGCTAGGATGATCTTTACCACTGAGCAAAAATTAGCAAACTCAGGAAAAAGGGAAAATTGTTTCATATTTGTTCAACGTTTGCAACCCAGGCAAATCCATTTTTTTCGTCCAGTGTTCATTACAACGAATAGAGTACGGGTCATGATAATTAAAACACTTATTTGAAGACAGAGTGAAAACTGATTTGTGATATAGTTAAATATCTTACAGGAAAATGATCCTTTTGAACTAATTTTATGCGTTACCTGCAGAGTTCATTAGCTTAGTTACCTTTGGCTTCATTATTTAGATCAATGCAAGCTCTCCTGTATTCTTCTTCCTCAATTGTTACTGTTAGTTCAACATTCTCCTCAGCTTCAGCAAGAAGCTTAACTTTCTCAGTCACCAAGAAGTCGTGCAGGCGTGCCTTGAGTGTGCCATCCTGGTACATCTTCCACAAGGAGTTGAGCCCCTTTAAACTGCTTGCCTGAACTGTGAAGCAAACACACCCTCCACCCATGTCGGCGAGTTCTGTATCAGCGGGAAGAACCTGGTCACCAAAGCTTCTAAAAAACTGACCAATAGACTCCCAGTTGACCAAAATTTCCGCGAAAGTTAGCGCTTTTCGACTAACAAGAAGCCACGTCTTTAAGGGAACTAGTGAAAATAAAATTGAAAAAAAAATAAAAAATAAAAAAAGAAAGGTTAATTTTGAGAAGAAATCTCCTACCAAATTTCAATCAAAGAACGAAAGTTTCCTTGGTAATCTTTTTTGTCACTCCAATGCGAAGGTATCATCTTCAACATCGTCATCATCATGAAATTTGATAGTAGTTCAGGAATAGGAGTCGAATTCGATGGTATGAAAAGAAATGAACGAAGACAATGCAGCTAAAAAACTATTTTTCAGTTAAGATCGGTGTTGCCCACTTCTGTGCTAGTCGGAAGATGTTACTGATGTTTATGATGCGGATGATGGAGATAAGAAATATGTGTATGGTCATTGGTTTGTGTAGATCTTATCCTCGCAAATTAACTGTGCTTTATAATAAAGTTCGGATATAACGAGCGCTGTCATTGGTTGAAAGAGCGTCCTCTGGAGGAGTCTAGAGCATAGAAGTGAGCTAAAGCTGTCACGTCATCTGCCAAATTGTACTAATTGTACTTCTCTCTTGCTTTTTTTAGTTAATTGAAAGTGAAATTTCGGAACAAGCGAGCCGACAAGTAGCATCAGAAGAACAAAAAAAATTGTTTGTAAACATGCCAGGCGCCGTAATTTACGTTATTATAACGTGAGCAGAGGCAAAAATCCTCAAAATAAAAATCGCTAAGTGTGTTGGCGCACTCAAGATGAAAACATGCGTTGAATCACTACAAAAACGAACTAATTTTCAATATACAGAATTCTCATCAATTATTCGATTGGTCCTTACCGACAGAAGAAATATTTTAGATACACGGCGAAAGTCGGCCGATGGCAAATCTTTTAGTCGCTAATTTTCGTTCTAAGCCGCGAGAAATGCCATTACCAAAGCCCCTGAATTATACCTAACTTTCGGTTTTTCTTTTCGTATTTTGGTTTTCTCCCCCTTCTAGGAAAGTTTGAACGTCACTGTCCGTAAGCGATACGGATTTTTCAGTGTTTCAGCAGCCATAATCCGAAAAAATTCCAACAAACGACCATGGATTGAGAACGGCGGAGGTTTTGCCTGTCATTCATCAATCTAACTGAGTGGCACGAAATTGGTGTGACGTGTAAGCAGCTGATTGGCAATATCAAATACTCGTTTAAAATATATCGTATTTTTTCACGTGTGTTGTTACGGCTTTTCTCAGGGTTGGAAATCCTTGTATAACACCGTAGTTTATATATGATGAATAATCAAGTGAATACAGTCTTTGCAAGAACTTTATGCGAGAAATTCCCAATTCTAAAAGCCGTCGGTGGCTTTAGTATCTTTTCCTTAACTGGAGAGAGATTTTCATGTTAAATACCTCAAATATAAATTAATGAGATTTGGGACAAACTCTTCAACCCTTTGAGAGAGTTTAGAGACATGAAATGAGTTAGGGCGAACATTCCTTACCACCAGGACAGTGGCTTCGAAAAAGATTATAGAGAATCTGAAACGGATTCAATTCTCAGAGGATGCCGCAATTAACTCTTTCTCTATTTGTTAAGACGTTTGGCCTGATAGCCACACTTCTTAGTGAAGTGGGAATTACAAGCAAACAATCCACTGAGCAACCAAATTACACTACTATTCTATCCCCAGGACCAAACATTTGTATGCAACCTTGAGATCACGCATGAAATTAGCACAGCTGCCTTCAGACCAAGCTTAGCAAACACTGAAGCTGGAAAAGGAGTCAAAAAATATACAACAACAAAGGTTCTCTTTACATGCAATCAACTCTCCTATACAGTTTACTCATCTAACCGTATTTACTGGGCACTACTGAAAGCCTCATCTAGGCAAGCTCTTTCTTAAACATTTAGATAGATATATATATATATATATATATATAGTACTGTTCTTAAACTCTTGAGAACACGCGACCAAGTACACGGGGGGGCAAGAGAGTCGCGGCTGTCTTCGGATTGGAATGAATATAAATCCCCTCGCTATGAACAGGAAAGCCAGGAAGAATTATTTTAGAAATAAGCTCGAAAACCGCAGTAAGCCCAAGGCCTTTGTGTTATTGTGAAATAGAGTACGTTTGTTATTTTTCTGTCAGCAATATCGTTTTAGCCAATCAGCTCATGTTTATTCAAGGTGTGCCATAGATTAGGGTTCGCTCGATTGATGCCAGTGAGAGGTGGATTATTTTTGTAGGAGAAAAGGAAAAACTGTGGTTAAAAAACCTGAAAGTGAAGACTGAGGAAGTTGTGGGCCTTCTTAACCTATTCCCCACATGGGTGAAAAGTGAAATTTACCGTCTATTCCCTCTGTTCCTCAAATGAGACAAACGGGAACGGATTTTGAGTGATATAACTAAGCCCAGACTGCCACCGTCATTTTGGATTTCCGCCTGGGTAGATTTTGGTCACGTAGGC